TTACATTTTTCAAATTGTTTTCTCATATCTTATTCTTCCTTTAGGTCAGAAACTAGATTCAATGTTGATGAGACTTCTGATTCGTGCAGCAGCATCTGGTATCCAGTGTTTTTGTAATTTCCGGGATGAAAGTGTATTTTACCAGGGCCACAGTGATTACATCCTCCAAATATAGCAGACTTCATCAGAGATGAGGCAAAAATAGGAAAAAACGACACCCATGCTTTTATACAGGGGGTTTTTATTACTTGCATAGTGGTGAATGCTTAACACTTCATTTTGCCCTCATAACACCCTATACGACTAGTTTTATTTGTTCACTTTACAAATGAAGAAATGTGAGTTCACACAGCTAGTACACACTAAAACGCAGACACCGAGTCCCACATCCTTTTGGAGGCCCTGTGGTAGGGAGAAAGGACACGGACCAAGTCCAAAGAGGGGATTCTAGGTCCAGCTACTCCACTGTCTGTCCCTCTCTTCAACTCTTTGGACCTCCGGTCCCTCAGCACCAAACGTGGGGCTTTAGACTAAACAGCCTTTTTTCTAAGTCTAAGGGTCCTAATGAGTCAGCACTGTTATGGTTCTGGGCGAGCCTTTCCAAGGCTCAAATTTGATTATAGCTTAATAATATGCTGCCAGAGCAAGCAGTAGCAAGTTGTTTTGTTAAGTATCAAGGTGAGATTGTTTCCTCAATAATATTTTGAACATAATTACCATTTCTATAGGACTCTGACTTCAAGAAACCCTCATCAAGGCAAAAGATGCCAGATGAACATTGGTGCAAATGGCCTTGGGTATTTAATCCCACGTGTCCACATCCAGACTCCTAGATCTGAAACTGTGAGCTCCCTACACAGTAGATCCTTACAGTTCCCTAAGGCCCCTGGCAAAAGACAGGCTTCCTTCCACAATAACATATTCTGTCCAGACTTGTCTTTGCCTTTAAGCAAAAGAAAACACCTGAGCTCCTACAGGTTCTGAGAACCATCTTATTAACAAAGGCTAAGAGTATTTAAAGGCTGTTATATGGTTTCCAGGAAAAGCTCAAACCCCCAATCTACTGCAGATGAACACTGCTGTGTGCTCTGAGAAGCCCAAGGCTTGCAGCCAGCACAGTGAACTCAACACTGGATCACAGTCATTTGGTCAGGGACAGCTTGTCAGATGTTACTTAGCTTTTAAATCTCTTTATGTCATTCTCTTAACTTTATAATCATTTGGAATCTTAGGTAATATTCATACCATAACAGCAGATAAATAAATATACTAATATACTATGGTTTCTTTTTTATTTCCTATGTGAAGCTGGCCTTCTAAGTAGTCAACAAATTAACACGACACCTAGTTATACATATTTAAATTGTTGTTTTTACTTTATATAACGTATATTATAGTTGACCCTTTAACAACATGGAGCTCGAACAGCATGGGTTGACTTATACACAGATTTACCTCTGCCGCTGCCACCCCAGACACAGCAAGACCAACCCCTGCTCATCCTCCTCTTCCTCAGCCTACTCAACATGAAGACTGTGAGGATGAAGACCTTTGTGATGATCCACTTCCACTTGCTATTTATGAATAGCAAATATATTTTCTCCTCCTTATGATTTTCTTAATAATATTTTTCTCTAGCTTACCTTATTATAAAAAATACAGTATATAATAATGTGTAACACAAAATATGTGTTAATCAACTGTATGTTATCAGTAAGGCTTCCAATGAACAGTAAAGTATTCATAGTTAAGTTTTGGGCGAGTTAAAGCTATACATAGATTTTTCAATTGTGGAAGGGGTCAGTGACCCTAACCCCCACATTGTTCAAGGGCCAACTGTAGTTTTTTAATGTGTGTCTCCAACAGTTAAAAGAGTACCACCTGTAATTTGAATTTTGTGACATTATGACATTATGGCTTGCCTGTATCTTTATAATGAGAAGACAGGAAGACTAAAAATAAATCAGCTTTCATAAGAATGTTGTTATTTTAAAATTCAAGTTATTGATGAGACGTCTTGAGGTGTGTAAGAAGTAGGCTTTTGGATTTTTTAACAGGTCAGCACTAATTACTTTTTACAGAAGAACCCCTTGTGTGTCTAAATAGAGAAAGACCTCAATTATAGCAGAGGAGAAAGACACTCAGACACTGCGGGCATAAAAATTTTTAAACAGCTGCCTGTCTGAACTGAGAGGTTACTACCTCTTCTGCTTCATCAGTTTTCAGGGAAATGATTTGACAGCCTCATTAATCCCCTGCCTCAAAATCAGCTGACACAGTAAGCAGCAACTCTTACCAGACAGAACCTAAAGCATCCTGTTTCTCATGGGGTGCAGCATGTATTACACAGCTGCGATGTGCTATGGCTGTAACATAAATTGTGAAGATGGTAAGCAATTGACTAAAGCTGGGGAACTATTATAATCACTGACTTATAAAGAATAAAC